GACCAGTTTCAGACACGTGAGACTGTTGGCCTGAGGCCAGTCTCAGACACATCAGACAAACCTGACCTTGGCACGCTGGGCTGAGGGTGGTGGTGGGCTGGGAGCTGGGGGCCGGCCTAGTGGCTTGCCCTGAGATGCGCGGGGCCTGGGCTGGGCAGGCTGGGCTGGGCTTGCTGGATGACTTGGGGCCGTGCTTGGGCTAGGCGACAAGCTTGGGCCTGAGGCTGGGTGGGCTGGGCTGACAGGCCTGGCCAGCAGGCGGGTTGCTGGTTGGGCTGGGCCTGAGCCTAGTCTCAGACACGTCAGACAGGCCTGGCCACCAGGAGGTCATGCTTTTCAGGACAAAAAAGCTTTTTTTTAGTATTTTCGCAATTGTCAGCACATCTTCGACAAAAATGGACCCATGGAGCTGGACGCCGACGAACCCCGAAAATTTCAAGGCTCGCCGGACAGGATTTTGGGCCAGCCGACATGGGTGGGGGGGCGGGCTGGGGAGAGGGGAAAAGCGAAGATTCTCTTTGCATAATTCTAGGAGTAACCTCCCCATTCTTTCCAGGGATCCTTCTCTCTAGAACACCACTAAAACCCCTGGGTTTTTGAAGTTGCTCTTTTTTTTTCCAAAAGAACGATGGCTGAAAAGAATGGAAAAGGAATCAACCCCTAGTAGTAGATAACCAGCCATTTTCATTTTGGTCTTTCAAATGCCCTTGGTTGCGGACTGGGGGTGTCATTGGCTAAACAAGATGCCCTCGAACGAATCAATCCCTAGAATCATGTTCCCTTTCTGAGCCCCAAAAATTCAATCACCGCTGGGGAAGTGGATCTTGCGTGGTTCACATCGCCCGGCAAGTTTGTTCAGAATTCCCTCGACGCAACTCCCGCCATCTGTCTTGGTGGCTCCCTTAGCTTTTTAGCTTTTTAGCTTTTTAGTGTTTAGTGGGATTTTCCACTTAGCCCACTAAAAATTACACTTTTAGCGGGGGATCTGAGGATAGCTCTGGTGTGTTTCCCAAACAAGAAGACCTTGCATAGGGAACTGTGTCAAACTCCTGCGCATGTAAACACAAATGATGTTCACCAAGAGGTTCCTGATTGAAATTCACACCCCCATGGTGGTTTTCCCTTGCAGGAGCACCCTCCAAAAAAAAGGGACACACCGATTGAAGTAGAACCCTAAATGGCCAAACGGCTGTTAGGGACGCCGAAGCCCATGTTGGGAAATCAAAGCCCATTTGGGTGGTTTTGATCTAGGGGAACCACTCAAAATGATGGTGTTCCTTTTTGGCTTCCATTCAAACCAACCCCAAAATGGTCCCCTGAAAAAAATATGCACCAATATTTATAGGTTTGTCTTGTTCTGAGGAACCGGCCAAAATGCGTGGTGTCACTTCTTGTCGGTGTCCTTTTTGAAGTGTCCCCTCGACAAGGACCAACCCAAGGTTTTAGTAGGTTCCAAAGGGACACGCACAGGACCACCCCTTTTTGGGGGGCCCAACTCCTAAAACTGATTTTAAAAAAATGGGGGAACCCCGAAACAGAACATCCCAAAAAAAGACGAGCCACCCCTATTTTGTCCTTTCCACTCCATCCACCCCGACCTCTCCGTCGTCGGCTTGTCTTTTTTTTGGGGGGAAGGCGCCTCGGAGGTGCTGAGCCTCGCCAGGCGAGGAACCCAGTCTCCGCAGTTCTAGGGGTTGATTCGATAACAGATACCTAGAGTCATGACCCTAGCATGGGGTCAAGAAACCCATGTCTCTAGGGATTGATTTTCCTTTTCCATTCTTTTCAACCATCGTTCTTTTCTCAACCGGATCCGTTTCCAATGGCTTTTTTTGGACGGTTTCCTGAAAAGATTCGGATCCTGGAAAGAATGGGGAAGGTACCCCTAGAGTTCTGGTGGGTTTTCCTTCAAAGGAAGAATCAGAAAGGTACCTCCTCGGAGGTCCCTCCATTTTCCCTTTTGAAACCTGAAGAGTGGTAATGTCAATGGACACCGCCAGCACATTGATCAACTGGCGATGTGGGGAATCCAGTGACCCCTGGCGGACGAATTCCAATCGCACCACTTGGGATAGATGAAACCCTATGGGATGAACCATCCATAAACCGGTGCGAAGACTTTAGATAACACGGCGGGGAAGGCAGTTCCGGTCCTGTGGCTTCTCATTTCTTTCGTCGGGGTCCCTATCATTTATTTGCTTTTGGCCCTTCAGCCTGCTGGTTTCGTTCTCTTCATTTTCAGCAAGACTAAAAATGACGACGTGCAGTCAAAGTGAGAAACCCAACCAAGACATCAACCCACGAAACCGGATCTTTGGAGAAGGGTCAGGCTGACAGGAGATGGTTTGTGGATGCCAATATGGTGTTTCTCTGGTCGTATCTTTGGAACGGGGCGTCTTTGGGCTTGGAGACTTGCTTCTCTCGGCTTGATTGCCTGGCCCGGCAAGCGTAAGTACTAGCAGATGTTGCAATCTACGGGTCACCTCCCTTCGGAGAGAGAGGGATTTCGACCCAGATGTCCTTTCAGTGGAGGTAGGTGGAGATGTCCATGTTTTGTTTTGTGATTGGAAGACTCACCCCCTTCCCCGCCAGATAATCGGGGAATGCTTGAGGTTCTTGGCCGAGTTTTGCACGCAGAGCTATCCGGAAGGTGAACCCGAGCTCCAGTGGATTTGGATGTCTTTTTCTGCAAGCGTCAGCTGCGCATAGAAGGATGAGTTACTTTTAAACCGCAAAGGGAGATGTGTTAGTTTTGTTTGTGTGCGTTGCTTTTTGTTGAGGGCTTTTGCATCACACACCAACTGCCCACAGAAGCGTGCGTGTTTTGTTCTGCCACCGGCCTGGGTCAAAGTTCTGCCACCCACCGCAGGGTGGGTTTCGGTGCGTTCGTTCAGAGTCGTTTGGCCCCCCGTGTTTGGGGGGAATCCAACAGACGGTACTCAAGAAAGCCCGGTGAAAGGTCGTCCCTTCTTGCAGGTCTACAAAGCAAAGCCACCAAACGCAGAGGAAGCCCCTCACCAGTTTTCGTCTCCCTTTTTTTGCGGAGCAACACGCATGTGCCTTGATCAAAACAGCCCTGCTTGGGGTTGGGATGCTTATGGTCTCAGGGAATTTCGACCGGTAAGGATTCCTTTTGCCATGGCTAATCAATTTGACAGCGAGCGAGATATCAGCACCAGGATCTTGTTTGATTTTGCTTGGCCTGTCTGTAAACCCATATTGGTTGGAGAGATTCCTAGTCTATTCGCACAATTGAATATGGGTGTTTGTTCTTGGGGGGGGAGTGGTTGGCTGCCTTTTGGTTTCCCATTAAAGTCCTCCCAAAAGGAGTCACCCGCGAAGACAGCCAGACCCCTACGTTTCACCAGCTGGAAACGACCACGGTTGCTTCGAGGAATTGCGCGCAACTTGGGCTCCAGCTGCAGAGTTTGGCCCATTTCTTTTGCCCAGAGAGGCCCTTTTGGTGCCGTAGCATTTTTTACTTGGCGTCGCACTCATGGACCTCTTTTGCGAATTTAGAAAAGCCGACCCCGTGGGATCCTATATGACCACGGCTCACAGATTAGGAAAACGACCACACTTTGGCAGATGAAAGTGATCGACCTCGAGGGATATCTGGTCTTTTGTGATTTTCCAGCCGCATTTCGAGGCTGGCAAAGGGCCTTGAAAATCCAAATAGCATGTCCGAATGCTGCTTTATAAAGCTTCTGATGGCATTTGCGTCCTTAAGCTGATCTTCTTCTTGTCGAATGCGAGAAAGGGGAGACTGGGATCCCATAGAATGCCACGTGGGGATGCATTACAGTAAAGCTCGCCCCAACAGTAGTCTAAGCAACCAGACCCTTGCAACCCTTAGGGGTAAGTGCCAACAGGTTGCAACAAACGCCGGGTCTAACACACGATTGTTGTTGGGACACATCTTACATTTTTGCTTGTGGTGGTTTAGTGGTTGAAATCCAACCACTGAAATGCTAACATGTTTATATATTTATTTTTACTCCCCAAACCCAACGTCAACCAAGAACAAGGGCACCGAGGCCAAGTTCCAGGTGTTTCGGGCTGGGCCAGTCGCTTCGGACGCGCTTGAAGAAACCATGGGGCGCAAAGCTCGTCGCCGCGCGTGCTGGGTGCTGGGCGCCAGTCTGGCAGTGTGGCAGGCTGGATCGAAGCTTCGCAGCGGGTGTGGTTCCTTTGGTAACCTGTGCTGGGGTAGACTTAGGATACATTTTACATTTTACCGGTGACTCAAAGGGAAGCAATCAATATAATATACATTCTACAACTGGGCCTAACTCAAATCATGTTTGGGGTTGGGTGAAAGGGAAACCGAAAGAATACCACACAGTTTGAGGGTTGCCCAACTTTGAGCCAAACTTATTCCTAAGAGATGGTAAGACAAACAAACATGAGCGCCCAAAAACGCGATAGGCCACTAGTAGGTGGTTCTACTGTTCTACTACCTGGTTTTCAGGGGGGTCGGTTTTCGTGCGGTCCATTTGAGCCTTTACAATCATGATAGAACCAACAGTCAACGGTTGTTCGGCGCTGCTCTTGCGGTGCCAAAAAGCAATCGAACGCATGGTTTGTTTCTAGGGGAGAGAACCCATGGTTGGGCTTCCCTTTGGTTCCCTGCTGGGACAAAGGTTCGCCTGAGGGCTGGTAAGCAATCGGAGACTCTTGAGATTCTGCATTTTATATGGATTTGTGACTGTTCTTGGTTGTTCAATGGCACTTCAAAAGGTTTGGAATGGCCACTTACATGATTCTGTTTCCACTTTTCTTTGTGGCGCCAAGAAGACACTCGTATGATTTTGTTGCTGGGCAGTTCCCGGTGAACATGGTAGTTCTAACATCTTCTGTCGTTCGGTTCACTGGTTGCAACTAGAGATGGAAAGGTGACTCGACAAGGACCATGGGCCTGTTGGGATCAGGGGACCCATTCAACGGTTTCCAATAAACGAATTGGTTCCGATCATCGCTTGCGACGGACAACTCTGTATCCGAAAAGGAAGCCATTTGTTAGAAGCCATCTAGGGTCCCCAATTAAGGGGAAAAGCAGAATTCAAAGGTCTTGTTCAGCCTTGCTTTCTCTTTTGGGGTGGATTCAGCCGCTAACTCGTGTGGGTGTTTTTGTTTTGCGCGTGTTTGGAGGGTGGGAGTTCATGTTGAAGCAGCGGTGTAGCCATGTTTCAACAGGGCCGTATGTGGGCTTGCAGCTTTTCATGTGACGGGCAACCCCCATAATTTTGTTGGGTTGTCTTGAAGGGATAGGGAAAATTCATGCATGCATAGATCATTTTGTTTTTTGTTTAGTGTCTTGTGATTTGTCCGGACAGGGCTTTGACCCTTGAAGACCAAGGCCAGCCGTGAAGCCCCAGGTACTCCAAATGGATCAACCCCCAAAATCAGACTCGGGCGAAGGGTAACGAGTAATCCTCATGTGGAAGATCCATTGATATCACAGAGGTTGGCAATTCCATGGCAATTCCCACTCTGGACATTCACATGAGCAAGAGGCTAAGCTCTCTCATCTAGAGATATGTCTTCGGAGATTTGGCGAAACCCCAAGACAAGTGTCAGAAGTTTTTAGCAACCTCAACAACGATAACTTCCCATTCAAAATCGCCCAACGTAGTCTTTGGTTTTGCCGCTCGATCACATGGAACCGTAAAAAAGGGACTGCAAAGGGAGATTCTCCTAAGAACAACCAAGAAGGGTACCCAACCAGTAAGCTCATACTATCCAGCAGGTTAGTTCCCAAATGGTTGATGGCCCTTCCCAGTCAATCCTCGCCCCCTGAAAAACAATGGAATGACCCGAGTCGAACTGAACCATCCCCTTGTAGTTTCCCTTAAGGATGTCCATGTTCATCGAAATGAATCATCCTTTTTTAGTTCCCTGTCTAGGACACGGTTTGGATGCGCTTCTTGTAGATCCACCCTTGTAGCATAGCAAAAGGATACTAACAGAGTGCCAAAGAAGGAACTTTTTGCACAGAAAACGCATCCAATCCGTTTTCAGGACCTGTTGATTCGCAGAGATTCCGCCACGGGCGTACCGTGCACGTGCGCCGCGCAGGCTTCCCCCTGGGGCCATCCTTGCACCGTGATCTGTGAGAAGGCCGCCGTAGGCGCCCTGCATCGAATTGGATCTGAGTTTTTTTTCTTCTACAGGTGGTGTCTTGGCTTGTTTTGGTTCGGTTTGGGTTTGTTTTGGTTTGGTTTGCTTGGTTGGTTCAGTTTGGTTTGGGTTTGGGTTTTGGGTTTTGGGTTTGGGTTTGGGTTTGGGTTTGGGTTTGGGTTTGGGTTTGGGTTGTTTGCTTGCTTGCTTGCTTGCTTGCTTGTTTGTTTGTTTGTTTGTTTGTTTGTTTATTTGCTTGTGTGTCCGTGTGTTTTGAAGTGGCTTCAAAATGGACACCAACATGTCAAAGAAACTAACCACTTTTGGGTGTCCACATATTTTACAACATATCCCAAATGTTGGTAACGAGCCATGCCTGATTAGGAAGTACTAGAGTTTTCTAGAACTTGGACACAAGTAATGCTAGCTTGGGATGAATCCGGAGAGCCTTAGCGAAAGGAAGCCCCGAAAATTGCACCTTTCTATTTATTAAATGGGGGTTGAGCAATATTCCGTTTGGCCCCAAAATGACCATGGGCGACTTTTCCCACGTGAAAGTTGTTTTTTTTGGGAGGTTTCCCTCATGGTCACCCCATGTTTACCGGATTTGATCAACCCCCAATCTTGCTGGTTCTCAGGGAATGGGGAATGACCCCGAAAAAAAAAGAAGAGGAAAACCGTCCAACTGGTGGTTTCCTAGGGAACACCCTCCGGAATACCCGACTGAGCAAGAATGGGAACTCTCCTTGAGTAGTTGCGGTCCTCCAAATTCGGAAGTTTAGATCGAATCAGCCATGCTCCACTGGGCTCAAGGATATTTTGCCCAAACCGCCCGAGGAACATTGGGAAAAAATCACCGACTGCATCACAGGTTTGATTTGTGAGGTGCCATCAGCCGGGTTCAAAAGGAAGCCAAGAGGAAAGCAAGATTTACGGGTCCCGCCTATTTGGACTAATGTAGAACAAGAGTTAGGTCCGTGAAGGGAAACTAAAAGACAGAATGTGATTCGACCATTCTTTGGGGCGGCCAAAAGAGCAGCGTGGTTAAGGTGGCCATGTTGGGGGAGGTTGGGTTGAAGGGCAAGCCAGGGACACACCTCCATTTTGAGGGCTATGTGCCGGCCATATTTTTTTAGTTTCCCTTAAAGGGCTTGCTAATGTGGCTCATTTTTGAATATGATGCCCGGAAAGGAAAAAAGGCGCACCCGCAAACAGGGATCCTCCAAATTCTGGGTCCGGTTTTGAGTGCTAACCTCAAAACAGCTCACTCCCTGAGTTTATGGACTTTAGCCACTTTTTGGGTTTGGACCACGTTAGGTTTACTTTCTTCGTCAGCCACTTGGCAAGTGAGACCCAAAATCACGATTTTCAGCGGTTTTGTGGGATATAGAGCCACTATAAAGTTGCATAAGCAAATAATGGGTATAATACCCAATTACAAAACAACCATCCACATCGGTGAGACAAGGACCAAACCATACTGGTAGAAACACATGTCAGAAGGATCCACTGTTTTGTTTGTCCACCAGGGCCAAACGTTCTACGCGCGAGGCGAATGGGATATTTGTTGCTGCCCGTGTTGGACACATTGAAAAATGGGTGGTGTTCTTTTGGCTCTTTAAAACAACTCCAAAAGGTAGACTCAACACCTCCAGCCTCAATGTGGGGTCTACCCCATGTTTAAATGCCCATGGAGACTCCAGGTACCTTTGTTTGGTTGAAACACATTGTTGGACCCCTCCGTTGCAAATTCCAAGTATGTCCATTTGAACTTGCTACTGGAAGGTCTCTCTGACACAGTCACTGGTAGTGCACAAGCCAGAGGTATGGAATCCCTTCCCTCAAAAGTCTCTGGCTTCCTTTTGGTTCTGGAAAACAACTCTTTAAAAGGTTCCCTTAGCAGATACGTCTGTTCGGCCATTTCAGAAGGAGCCACCTCAAAGGTGGTTGGTGGACATAGATCCGCACCTGTATAATTTCGTCCACCAAAGGTGTCCATAATTCCAAATAACTCCCGTACTGTGGATGGACAAAATCCATTTCGCACCACCTAAGAAACGCTGGAATGATGATTTTACTGTAAATACCAACACACAATGTGTCTCATGGTTTCGAAGTGGTGCAGGATTTCGTCCGGTCCATCCACAGTCTACTGGAGCCTTCCCTTTGGTTGGCGCTTAAAGGGAAGCCACAGGGACACAACCCATGTGTCGAGTCCCCTATGTGAAGACAACCCCACAAATCCACACCACCAATCAGAGGGAAGCTGATCGACCGTATATTTTAAGACAAGCCCAGATGTGCCATGGTCAAAAGACCGGTTTCTATACTTGGGATGGTCATCCATTTGGTAGTAAGGATCCTTGACAACCATGTAGAGAACCATGACCATGGGCCAAACAAAGGGAGTCTTACCATGGCTCACACTGTGGATGGACGAACTCCTGCACCGCCCAAGAAAGTTCTCGTTGAAATCATTGGTACTATGCCGGGGGAAAACTGCTGATCATTCCCTTGGGTGTCTGCGAACAAAAATATGCGACCTTGGTATTTACCGGGAAAATCTATCATTCCCTTGGGTTTCTGCAAACAACATCTGCGACTATCAGAAGTCGCAACCATATTCACCGGGAAAATTTATCAACCCCTTGGGTTTCTGACAAAATTCTGCGACCATCAGCAGTCACCCCATGCCACTCACAGTTGGCGCCTCGCCTCGCGGGTCTCAGGCGCCGGGCCAATCTCGCCGAAGCCGCGGGTCCGAAGGTCCAAGGAGCGGGAGGTGCTCGACGGGGGCGAGGCGCGGGGCATCGGAGACCCGCGAGTCGGCCGCCGGAGAGGTCTCGTCGGGTCGCTTTTTTTTTTGGGGGGGGGAGGCCGGAGGGGACAAAAAGGGAAGCCAAAAGGACGAAAGTGATTCCCACTTGGGACCCTGCCAGGTACTTGGGTTCCTCTTGGGTTTCCCTTGAAACCATCCAAAATGGGATGGTCTGGGGTTACTAACAATTTAGACCACTCTTGTTTTTTGAAAAGGCGTCAACGCTTACGTCCCTGTTAGTTGGTGGGTTCATCATTCTTGGGGCTGACTGCTTTTCCGTTGCTGTTCCACGATCGTTCTTCTCAGCCAGCTGTTCCAACCCTGGAGATTTTGCGGTGGCATGTTGACCTTTTGTTGGGGTGCTGAAAGTCAGTAATTGGGATCGCTCCGCTTGGCGCCACCACTTTGACGGTGAAAGACTGGGGCCAGACACGGTTGATAGCACTTGTAGGTCGGTGCCGGAAGTCATCCTCGGCGTTCCCCAACGGAAAGGCCAACCGTATCCGCCTCCAAGAGGATATCATTCACGGGAGCAACGAACAGGCAAAGACACGCTCCCTTGGTCAGAGCCTTAGCCCGGCCCGGCGCGCCAGGTGGTTCCGCCCAAGAAGGGGCATAAGCACGAGACGCTTGGCTGGGGCCGAGCCTCCCCCCACCCTTCAACCGTATAATGGATCGCTAGAGCTGCCCAAATCATTTTCACATTGGTAGGGGAGCCAAAACCTGTACTTCCAATGTGAGAAGCTGATTTTGGCAGGGCTTCCTTGAGCGAGCCATTCTTGAGCGCCTCAAGCCGGATGTCGCTGTCAATTGATGGCAAACTGGTTGAGCCCTAGTTGCCTGCAAATGCGCCCGCAAAAGGGTCGCAGGGGCCCTTTGGGTTCAACAAGAATAGGACGCCAAGATTCGTAAACCCTTCCAGGTCCTTTCGATGTGACCCTGTTGAGGGCCATTGAACAGGATTCCCTATATTCCCCCTTGGCCGCCCGATCTAGACCCATTGTGGCAGACACAAATGGGATCCTTTGGCGCCAGACTAAAGAGAGAACGGTGGGCAGCCATGACCAAAACTCCAGCCTGCACGGGGTAGATGCTGCCTACTCGTTCTTGGTAAAGCAGGCCCCGCTCCAAGGACAAGAGGCCCTTTCCCTTGGGTCGGCTGTCCCAGCGGTAGGCCGGTGTTTCAGCCTGTTCTGTTTGATCCGTTTCCTGCGCGTGGGTCACTGTACAAGCGCTGAACCGGTATTTTTTCGAATCCCAGAGATCTTCTATCTGGTTTGTTCAAAAGGCGCCACCTGAGTCCAATAAGTTGATGAATTATAGTGACCTCACACCTCACCCCAAATGGTAGTTTATGCGGGGAATAGCCCCCCCAACCACCTTATTTCAGGTTGGTGAGACATACACTAATTCACCCAGAATAAGGCCTTTGGACTTGAGAAACCACTCTGACACGACCTGAATTGAGGGGGTCGGACCCGGTCAACGGGTCAATCAAGCGGGCTCCAGTTGGCGCCTGTGTGCAGCGTCCTACAGCCCATTGGCCAGAATCCAAGTTTGGGGTCACCCAACTTGACTCGTTCTTCACGGCATGATAGCTCGAAGGATCGCACAGAAGTTGAGAAACCGAATCCGGCATTCATCCGCAACGTGGATTCGTGTTTTTTTCTCGACCACCCCTTCAAAATGCATGTTGTTTCAAGGGTTGCTGTCAACCTGACTAATAAAGGAGGTCTTTGGAGGTAAACATTTGCCATTGGCTGCGATGTTGTTTTCTCTCTTCAATCAACCCACTCCAAATACCTGTTTGCTTAACAAGCATGATGCCACCCACCAACTGGCGGCATTTCCCACGGGGCAACCCCCCTTACCCCCTTCCAAGCGTTTTTTTTTTTCGGGGGAAACCCCCCAGGGGTTCGGTGTGTCTTTCGAATCCCCGCGTTTTTTTTTTGCCGCGAACCCCCCGGGGTGGGCCCAGCTGATGAGAACTGCTCCGATCCCAAGGGCCACGTTGATCTACCTGCACGGCTGCTCCTGCAGCGCGTCTCAGTACCTGGAGGACTGGGGAAATGGATATGGGTCGAAATTACAGAGCTGGGGCCTTACGCAGGTTTTAGTCTTTGGTTCCATGTATCAAGGAGCCATTTAAAATTTTGGGCAACGCATTTTTCTGAGCCACAGCTAAATGGGTATGGGTCAAAATGACTACGCGCCAGGGTATGGACCGCATGCAGGTTTTAGCCCTTGGTTCCATGTACTAGGGTTTTGAGATGGATACACATTTTGACCACACAGCCATATGGAAGAGACCACTTGCCACCGCGAAATTGCTGGGGACTTGGAATGAACCCAGGGGTCAGGGGTCCGGTTTGCAAGGAAGCCGCCGGTGGGTCAGGAAGCATTTCTCATTCGAGCACCAGGAAGAAAGCTCAGCCGTTTTGCAGGTGTCGTTGATTTTTGTTGCTCGCTTTTGTGTTGTTTTTTTGTTTGGTGTGCGTGTGGGCGGGCGGTGTGTGTGTGTGTGTGTGTGTCGCTTGCTCGAAATCAGGCTCTTTTTGTTTTTCGGGAGGGGGTTGCCACTTTGTCTTCGAGCTGGTGTTCAGTATTCTTTACAACTATCCAAGGCAGGTTGCTATCAGGGCCGACACACTTAAAATGGAGTTGTGCCGTACTTGAAAACCAAATCAAATCAATCCTTAGACAACAATGTGGGCGTGTTTCAAAAAAGGGGTCCCCCAAAGTGGTTGGTTTGCTTTCGTTTTCTGTTCGATACCAACCAAAAGGGGGGTCCTCCATTTTGGAGAAACATTTTTTTTTGAGAAATATGTCGAGGCAACAGGAAACACACCATTCGAGGGGTATTTGGGTTGTTTTTGTTTTTTGAGGGTACCTCTCTTTTGTGGTTTTAAAGGAATACCAGCAGGAAAGCCACCAATTTGTGCGAAGTTATGTGGTTCTTTTTGCCGATGAAATTCCACACAGGACGGCTGGGAGCTGCCCTGGGTTGGCAAGGCGCGGTGAGTGGCGCCGGAACCGAGAGATCTCTTTGCTCAAGTTTCACGATTTAGAAAGGGCGTTCTTCAAACAGTTGTCCCCTAAAATGGTTGGGGTCCTTTTAGTTTCCCTTTGAATGCCAACCAGGGCGCGATCTACTTTCTTTTCAAATTGGGACCCTTTTGGTGGAGATTATCTCCTGCGGATTTGTGTCCGCCAAACAGTACGGAGGGTGTTCCCCATGAACATTCGTGACTGACTGATTTTCCCGAGCAAGCCTTCGTCCTCCCAAGACTCTGACTTTTTGGTGCTGCTCGAGTTTTCCTCTCGGATAAGCTTTCAAAGGCAGCTAGGATCCGCCCTGCATCCGCCCTTCTTTGCCAAACAAGAAACAAAATCAGGGAAGGGCCTGGTTTGTACAAGAACGGTGATTGAGGAGAATGGGAATCGACTCTTAGACCACCTGTACCAATAGTATAGCCAGCCCAGATTCCATGGGAACCCAAATCCAACCCAACCGTGGACGAAATCCAAAATGCTGCGCAAATGGAAGAGTTTATTACAAGAAACGCTGAAGGTGCTCCCAAAAGCCGCAGAGAGTGGGAATAAACTCCCAGACCTTCTGTACCAACAGTATAACCAGCCTAGATTCCATGGGAACCCAAATCCAACCCAACCGTGGACGAAATCCAACATGCTGCGCAAATGGAAGAGTTTATTACAAGAAACGCTGAAGGTGCTCCCAAAAGCCGAAGAGAGTGGGAATAAACTCCCAGACCTTCTGTACCAACAGTATAACCAGTTTAGATTCCATGGCGCCCCAAATCCCACCCAAGCCGTGGACGAAATCCAATATGCTGCGCAAATGGAATAGTTCTGGGCAGGTGACATCAAAACAGGGGCTCAAACTCCCATTCTTGACTGCTACCGGCTTGGATCTTTAGACTTCAACTTTTTGGGAAATCAAGTTGGGTTTTCCACTAAACCCCCGAAAAGTGATTCACTTTTTGCAGGGGGGGCTCGAAATTTATTCAAAGCCATGGTTGCAGGTCCGCCCAAAAGGCGAAAGATCTGGTCCAGCGCGCTTAAGGACCGGTGCCCGAACCTTCGCACGGTGCTGCCAGACGCAAAGGTCACCAGGCGCGGGGGCAAATCCGGGCAGCGGAGTTCGCGGGGACGTGTGTTGGGGTACCCCCCTCCCCCATGAGCACATGGTTGTTGTTGGGGAGCATGTTTCCCATTTTTGATCTTATTGTGTGTTTAGTGGTTGAAATCCCTACTTAACTGCTAAAATACACATTTCTGCTCCCCTTCCAACGTCAACCAAGCACCTTTCCAAGAGGGAAAGTCATCTTTCTGCAGTATGCACTTCCATGTTGCTTGGTGGGAGGTAAGATAGAGTGAATAGAATCTGAATATTATATATATATATATATATATATTTCTGTACATATTTTTCCGTGTGACCCTGCCAGATTTGGGCCAGGTAAGACATGAGCCAGTGATATTTTTGCCGATCTACTGATAGACAGCCCCAAATGTCAACCACAACGGATGTGCTCTCGGGGAATTCGTAACCTTGTCCAGGGCCCGGGCCCACATGTGGCCTGCCAAAGTGCTCAAGAAAGCCAACGCCAGAAGCGCAAAGAATGAATCTCACCTTTCGGAGCCAGAAGCAAAGGTTCCGAGGTCATTTTTTGTTTGATGGCTTGACAACCTGCAATGGCACCTGCAAGCGGCAACCGCTTGGGCGGCAGAGTAACTAAGTGCGCAGCGCCCAACAACCAAAGAGGGCCATTTATAGCAGGCGGTTCTACTACTTGGACTTGGTTTCATGGTTCCAGTAACTCCCCTATTTTATACTACATGATTTATATCATACATATGGGTACATATATATATATATATACACACATATATATGAATGTGTATATACTACCCCCCCCCCAGGTACCCAGGTTTGGGCTTGGTTCAGATGTGCTTTGACCGCGGAAGCAGGCAGGAAGAATAGCTCAGATTTGCACGCTGGGAGACCAGAGGAAGGAGGTTTGCCTCATTGAAGAAAGACGCCTTGGACGTGACCCATGCCCTTTTTCAATGGCTCTTCCACACAAAATTCAATTCACATATCTTCCCACGCAAACCATGCCTTCTTTCAAAGGCTCTTCCACAGATAACTCACATATCTTCCCACACAAACCATGCCTTGTTTCAAAGACTCTTCCACAGAAAATTCACACATCCTCTCACCCAACACATGTCATTTTACATGTCTTCTTTCAATGGAACAAAGGCAGCATACGTGAAAGAGTTGCCAAGGAAAGTGAACCCTGTGTAGAAGAACGCCAGGCTATGGCTGGGACAGTTTGTGTTTCATAAATGGTGGTTTTACGTGGTATTTACTGTCTTTTGCTGTACTTTTATGAATCACTGTAACCCCTGACTCTTGCACAAAGACCCACATATCATCTCACACAAACATGTCTTTTTCAATAACCCTTCTCTACAGAAAATTCACATATCCTCTCACCCAGGACATGTCTTCTTTCACAAAGGTTCACATATCCTCTCACCAAAACATGCCTTCTTTCAAAGGCTCTTCCACAGAAAATTCACACATCCTCTCACCCAACACATGTCTTTTTACAGGTCTTCTTTCAATGAAACAAAGGCAGCATATGTGAAAGAGTTGCCAAGGAAAGTGAACCCTGTGTAGAATAACACCAGGCTATGGCTGGGACAGTTTGTGTTACATACATGTTGGTTTTACATGATATTTACTGTCTTCTGCTGTACTTTTATGAATCACTGTAACCCTGACTCTTCCACAAAGACCCACATATCATCTCACACAAAACATGTTTTCAATAACTCTTCTCTACAGAAAATTCACATATCCTCTCACCCAGAACATGCCTTCTTTCACAAAAGTTCACATATCCTCGCATGCTCCGCAAATGTTGCGCAACATTTGGAATTTGTTGCGCAACATTTCCAAAAACCAAAAAACCAAAAATCCAAAAAAAACCAAAGAATCCCAGCCATGGTGGGGGCTAGGATTGGTTTTCTGTTTTTTTGTTTTTTGGTTTTTTGGTGTTTTGTTTTTTGGGTCCACAAAATGCCCTTGCAGAGAATGCATGAGTTCAATCAAAATACACTGTAAATATCAATGGTTTTGATACAATGATGCTGCAACATCTGGGTACTGAGGGGGGTACCATATATATATATACATGTATGTATTTCTCGATAGGTTTTAATAGGGCCGCATGTCCATCGGTGTCTTGGTGCTGCTGAACTCATTTCGGGCAAAACGGACCACGGTGGTGAGCCGCTTTCTGTGACTCGAATGCCTCGTCCCCTTCTAGTTGACTTGTGCGGCAACTTAGGATCCCTGGGGTATGTATCACCCGGGCGTAACTTCGCCAAATGTTGGGCTGCACGACCTTCTTGTTTTGCTCTTTTGAAACAAAGCCTTTTCCACCAGAGCAGAAGCAACTTCGATTTTGGGGTAGTTTAAGCATGAAGCAGACAGAATCTCAACATATTATTTGCTGTGCTCCCCAGATGTGGCCAAGATTTGGGGAGATATTGCTTAGATGGATAGTGTGAGAACCTCTGTTGAGCTGCCGTGCGGCAGGGAAGCTTGACCAAATTGAAGATTTCGGTCTAAGGTTGCTAGTGCAGATCCAAATAGGTTTAAGGCCAAAAGGTTGACCAACAGTGAATGCCAGGTTTTGCGTCCCCGTTGGGCAATACCAGTGCCCTCAAGAGGGATCGGCCCCTTCCGTGCCGCTTCCGCATGTCGCGAGGCAGCCCTGGGGGGAAGAAGAACCTTCCTGGCATGCCTATGCTGCTTGGCTTTGCACGACACATGGGTGCTCTCTCTATTTCTTGCGGACCCTTGTTGGATGGTTTCAAATGGACGCCTAAAGGAAAAGCAATCGCCAGCAAAAGGGACAGAATCCACCGAAACGAACCTCTCGGTTTCTTTGGTTTGGTCCTTTTGGTCAAGGTTCCCAAAGGTCCTTCTACTGGTGGCTTGCCTTTGGCTTCCCTTTTCACCCAGAAAACAGGTAGAGTGGCGCCTTCTCCTTCCTTGTTGGGATGGGTGTCTTTTGTAAGCACAAACACCGGGTGCCAACTGTTTGCCCCACTCTGGGCTTCCGAGATTCGTGCCTGGACCCCACCTTAAGATCGCCATAGAGAGTGATCTTTCTTGTTGGGAGTAAGGAATTCCTGAGATGCAGTTCGGTCTTGAGTTGGTTGCTGAAGCATCACCCAATCCCAGGACAGATCTGGCAAAAATCACAACAACAGGGATTGCCACAAAGAAAAAGGCGAGGGCTTGTACCTCAAATCTCTCACCAGACCAAAGGCTTGGTGTCCTGGTTCAGGGCTCCCATCACACTGTTGGGCCAATTTGAAGTGAGTGTCTGCGGGTGGGGGGATGTGAAAACCGAAGAATATACGGGAACCCGATAAAGAGACGCGAAGATCGTCCGGGTTGCTCTGAGCCATTGCTGAAAGCTGCGAACCGCGGCGAACCCGTTTCTTCTGTCAAAAGCGGCATGTCTGCCTCTCTTTTCAGACAGCAGCATCACATTTTGTTTAAAGCAAAAACATGAAAAACAATAAAAATAAAAGAATGGAAATGGGCCGGAAATGGGGTTATGATTTTTGATCCACTGAGAAGAACCGCCCGTGGACCTTCAAATTCGGATCGTTGGAACCAGCCCTCGGATGAAATCTTCGGTTGGAAAACTAGCCCTGAACATCGCAGGGTCGTCCGAAAAAGTCCGAGGTTCGCCTTAGAATCTTGTCCCTTCAACGAAAAGAGGGGGCCTTAGTTCGCTTCATCCAACGAAAAGCGGGGGCCTTTTCTTTCCCACGCTGAGAAAAAGCAGCCACTGGTCTTCGTGGTGATTGAACGATTTAATCCCATGTTCCATTTGCTGAAATGAATATTGTTTTTTTTTTTTTTTTGTGTGTTTTTTCCCCCTTGTTTTTTTCTTCAGGGAATCGATTTCACTAGTGGACATGTGTTTCTCATTTTCCCAGGGGGCGATCTCCTCAAATGGAAGATTAGGGTATCCCTCCCTCCCCAACATGGGTCCTCTACTTGGGTGGCGTGCGTTTTGAGGGAACCTCCTTTTGGTGGTGTCAACGGAAGACCAACAGAGCCACCAATTTCTTCAGACCCTTTGGCGGAAAATCGTCACTGGAAGCTTCTCTGTGGGGGTGGATTTTGCCTGGGCGCTCGCACGGTTCGGTGAAACCGTCCGTCCGTGCCGACGCCAAAAAGTCGGCCCCGGCCTCGGATTTCCGAGGTGAAGCAGAGCAGCAACAAGGCGGCTTGACGGCCATTGGGTTGGATCTTTAGACTTTAACTTTTTGGTTGAAATAAAGGAGTTGAGGGTTGAGGGAATGTTTTTTTATAGGGTAGCTTGAGGGTAGCTTGAGGAAATCAAGGTGGTTGGCTAGTATAGTTTTCCACTACCCCCCCCCCAAGAAAAAAGGAAGCTAAAACTTTTTGCAGGGTCAACAGCCGCAACCAAGGTGGGGGACTACCACACGCTGCGGGAGACCAGGGATCGCCTGGCGCACATCGTCTACTCCGCGCCTCGAAGAAGCCGAAGTGACGGGCGCCACCGTTTGGTTTGTTGACGTCGTCTTTCTTTTTGTTGGGGGGAACGAACTCCCCAACTCCCCCCCCAGCAGTTGTTTTGTTCTTCGTTTTTTCTGGTGAAACTTCCCCCCCCCCTCCCAAGCAGTGCCTGTTTTTGTTGGTCGTCCTTTTTTTTGGGGGGGGAACCCCCCCGAGCCATGGACACTTAGAGGTTATTTTGCAGCCTGCAACCTTAGAAACCAATACCCGAGCCTAAGTAGCCTAAGTGTCCAAACGGACCCCCCCCCCCCCAAGCAGTGTTTTCCTTTTTTGGTTTCTCTTGAAACACAACAAAAAGGTGCACCATCCACAAAGACAGACCCATATCTCCCAGTGATTCCATTGTCCTGTATAATTAGGCTCCACCTGTTACAAACGAGGAACAAATGGTGGTTGCTTACTCTAGTAATGTGTTTGTAGTACCCTTACGACAAACGCATGCATGAAGCCACGGGTTTCCAATAGTTTCAGCCATATATTAACGGTTCAGAGCACAAGAAACTTGGGTTTCATACCAGGGGTTCGTCTATTATTGGTGTATACATTCAGCCTCTGAAAAAAAACAGGTGATGCCGCATCACAAGGTTTGAACCAAGGCCTAAATGAAACTACAAGGGCCGTTCACTCATAGGAATAGGGGGCTACGGCTAAATTACTTCAAGACCAAATTATGTCATGAACATGGGATATTGATGTGCCTGCCCCAACCGACAAACCATATTCTCTTCGGGGGTATGTAGTCTGGACCCCTGTACATTTGGGGTACGCATGTAAAATCATCTCCCGCGTGCAAAAGCCCGTTTCCCCATTTGTAACCCTTTTCAACGGAATCCCCATTTAAAATGAGACAACCCCCATTCGAATCAAGCGGTCTAAACCAAAACGAACCCAAACCTTCCAAGCAAGCAGGACAGAAAGTGCCCCAACCCCCCCCCCCTCCCGGTGTTCCTTGGCCTTCTTTGGGTGCGGACCGCGCTCCGCGGATCCGCAGCTCAGGAGGTGGACCGCCTCCACGGGCAGGGCCACCGCGTCTTCCTGGGCGGCGCCTCCCAGGGCTGCACCGTGGCCCTGGCGGCTCGGTCGAGTCGAAGCCATGGATCCAGTCAGTCACTTGGGGCGCAAGGCCAGGTGAAACCCAAAATGGCTGCGGCTCAAAGACATGGACACCAAAACGGCATGGCAGAATTTGAGCCAAAGACCAAAACCTGCGCTTGGCCCAAAATCGCTCTTTAATTTTGAGCCATACCCAAATGGTGAGATGCAGGGTGTCCAGCCTAGAAAGGGACTTGCAAAGATCCAGTTCCCCTCTGGTGATGTTTGGCTGGCTGTTCGCTGTTCTAGGTCCCCCCCAGTAATTCCCTTTTACCAACTTTTTTTTGGGGGGAGGAGGGTCCCCCACTAAAAGAGAAAAAAAAGGCACCCTTATTCTAACCTCTCTACTGGAGGACCTAGGGTTGGCGTCCAAACCCACCCACTAGTTCAACTTGGGTCCCAGAAAGGTTTTTGTAAGCTGTTTTTGGTTGGTGTAGCACTTGGGTTTGCAGTTCAACCACTGGTTAAACTGTGGATTTGCCATCCGCGGAGTTGTTTGGGGGGTGTAGGGGACCAAGATTGGTCACTGGTTGCCAAAGAAGAGACGTACACGTGGTAAAACGAGGTAAGGACGTTGAGGTAAGGATGTACCTGGAGTCTCCCTCAGGACCCTGAGAAATGGGGCGATCAGAAGGAGACTTTCCAAGTATCGATTCAGAAACGGCTGGAAGACCCAAAAGGGTTGAAGTGTGAGGCTAAGTTTAGAATTGAGGTGTTTGAGGGGTTGAGGGTGTGGAATGTGGGCAAGTTTGACCTGTGACCCCCGAAAAGAGGTCCCCAAAGAAGGAGCTTAAGAATGCCTGGCCCGCTTTCTGGGTTAGAAAGCCAAACGGACTGCTACACACAGGGGTTCCATATTTTATTTGGAGACAACCCCATGTCTCCTCCCAACACCTATTCACACATCTCGAAGCCCTTCATCTCCTTTGGGCCCAAGGAGAATTGCAACCTGCCTGGAACCCTCCAAGAACCTTTGCTAAATGGGTATAGGTCAAAATTAAACCAGGGGACAGCAGGTTTCAGTCCATGTTTCCACTTGCCAGGGTTCCATTTTGGGTACCTATTTTTGACCCACAGCCAAATGTTGCCCGAGATGCCACACCGGTGTGTCGGAAAAAGAAGGACGGAACCACCTCAAAAGTGGTTGGTGGACATGAGTCCCCACCGAATTGCAGTGTCCACCGAATTGGGTCCGGGTCCGGGACCGAAATGGGCTAAAAGGGTGGCCTCGCACTTCCCCCTTTCCACCAACCTGAGAAGAGTACTGGGACCCTCAAAGGTTAACCCTTGACATGGGCATTGCCACCCAAAAATCTGGGGTGACGTCCCTTTTGCACGGCGGCTTCTTTCGGGTCTTCGGGTCCCGCGCCTCGAAAACGGGACCGGCGAGAACTGCAGTTCCGCCCAAGGACACCTATCTCCTGCAGGCGCTCGCCATGGCTCTCGCACGCTTGCAGGGCACGGGGGGTTAGATCTGGCGGTCCCATGGCCGTATTAGGGGCTCCGCAGTTTAATGGGTTGGGTTCAAGTCCGTGATTACTTGCCAGAGTCAAATTGGGAGGGAAAAAACGTACAAGCTTGGATTTCCGACCTCCAGTGGCTATGAGAAACAAACGGCGAGCACTCGGCGCCCGATTTTGGGTTGATTTCAAAGGGACACCACTCACTATGGCTGGAGGTCTGGGGAAGATGTAGAGCACCCTTCGTAATACTTTCAACCTTTTCTCCCATGATCATGACTTAAATAAGTTGGTTTATTGTACCCCACGCCCTATTTCAAGAATTAATACCATCGTGGTTCCCCGCAAGTTTTTCATGGAACCAAACTAGCCTCAGAATATCCTTTTCAGGATTGCAGTGGAGTACCCCCCAAAGAACTCAAAGCCAAAGCTTCGTGCTTGGAAGACATGAACCACCCCTGGTAAAGGGCAGTTTCAGGTATGGGTTTTTGGAGGCATGGATGCTTATATGCCACCGGGTGTATGACCTCCATACTGCCGAACACCATCGGACGTGAGCCAGGTCTGGATTCCTTCTGTGTGGAGAAGAACCTTCTCAACGCCTGCAGACAACAGTCATCGTGACAATTCTAACTGGGGACCTCTCCTCTGACATGATCTTTGGTGCATTTTGCCAAGGGATGTTAGGAATTTAGCGTTTTTTGCCAACGAATGGGTTTTCCGTATCAAACCACTCAAAGTTTGTCACTTTCAGCAGGGGAGCAGAAAGCAACCGAGTGATGATGTTAGATTTGGGTCCTTGAAAGCGAACGTTTCGAGGGGCTCTGAATCTTAGTTTCGGGTGGTGGTTTCATTTTGAGCCACCGGTCTGACGCTCAGTTTGAGGATGTGAACAAACATGAGCATATGTATATATGGTACAGCGTTGCCAGTCCCCCCCCCCCCAATGGTCATGGGTCAGACAAGTACCCCTCCCCCTGTGGTTGTGGTCCTGTGGTTGGGTGTGGTGGTTTAGGGTTGGTTCAGGGTTGGTTTAGAATTGGTTTAGGGTGTATTTAGGATGCATTTATGGTTAGTTTAGGGTTGGTTTATGTTGCTTTAGGATTGATTTAGGGTTGGTGTAGGTTTTGGTTTAGGGTGAATTTAGGGTTAGTTCAGGGTTGGTTTATGTTGATTTAGGATTGGTTTAGATTTAGGGTTTATTGTTTAGGGTTTGGTTTAGAGTGTATTTAGGGTTGGTTTAGGGTTGGTTTATGTTGATTTAGGATTGGTTTAGGGTTGGTTTGGATTTAGAGGTTTACGGTTTAGGGTTTGGTTTAGGGTTTGGTCTAGGGTTGGTTTAGGGTTAGTTTAGGGTTGGTTTATGGTTGGTTGCGGGTTGCCTTGTCCTGGGGGTGGGGGTGCCGGGGTGTCGGGGTGCGAGTTCAGGGGGTCGGGGTGGGGGTGGGACCGTAGGTGCCAGGATCCGGGGGCTCGGGGTCTCGGGCCGGGGGGGGGGGGGGGGGTTCCTGGGGGACCCATACCATCTTGGGGAGGGGTGGCGGGGGTAGCAACGCGGAACACAGGACCATATATATATATATATCACGTCACAATAAGGGGACGGTTTTTATTCGATTCCCCTTCAAAACACACACCAAATATTGTTTTTGCCAGATTCTTCGGCTCACCTTGTTAGGCCCTTTGAGTGCTTCCTCCTTTGTCCTGCCGGTTTTCGAGATCCCGTGCCCCTCGCCCTCGTCAAACTCGCCTCAAAACGCCCACGAAGCCCCGCAGGCGCGGAAGCTGCTGCTGGGCGGCTTCGTGGGCAGCGTGGGCTTCATGCCCAACGACCACCAAGGCCAGCGAGAAAAAAAAACTCGGGCGGCGGTATCGGGCAGGGGGATTTTTCTTTTTGCCCTCTTGTGAGAAAGTTGGCGACCCCCTCAAAAAGGAATCCTTCAGAGCCCTTGGTAGCGGGGAGCCCCAAGATGGCTGTGGCCCGAGCGGTCAGTGGAATGGACCAACACCTGCGGTCCAATTCCTGGTGTAGTTTTGAGTCCAGACTTATAGATCGAAGCCACTTGCGAAGCTATTTGCTGAAATGGATGTGTGTTATTTGTCCACTGGCTTGAAAGGAACATCTATCACTACTGGATATATTCCTTTTTTTTGTTCGGGGGCTTAAGCAAATGGAGGCTTTCTTAGATTTGGAGGTAAGGCTCCTCCTTTTCTTGTGAGTGGTTTTTGGAGGGTGTGGGTTTGACGCATGGTTACAACATATGTGAGTTGAGCATAGGACTGTCACTTGCATCGCTGGACGGGCGCTCCGAGGAGTTTTGTGGAAAGCAAGCTGCTGCGCCGCGCGCTTGTGTGCCACAGCCCCGGTCGACCCTGACGCTGCGCTTCTAGACCTTCCGGCTCTTGCCCAAAGCAAGCCTGCTGCGGTCACGTCGCAAAGAAGCGCGCAAAGGCCCCAATGCCGATGCTGGATATGAGCTTCAGACGAAGACTCAAATCACCGGAGATCATCGTCTACTTGGCGTGATGTTTGGAGAGCTTGGGTTCCTCCTTTTGTTGAACCATCCTTTCGGCTTCCTTTTTTGAGGGAAACCGTGGTTGTTCAAACATTGGGTGCTTTTTGAAGAGAACCTCTTTGACCTTGGTTTGAAGGGAAACGAACAGGAACCGCCACCATGGTTGTAGAAAACTTAGCTTTAGGACCAACTTCCATGGAGATTGGGACTTACGCAGCTCGAAACAAATGGCTGAAGAGACAGAGGAAGTTGTGCAAGGGCAGGGTTTGAGGCCACTGTTTGTGATATGAATGGAAACCCCTTCAAAGTGATGATGTAGTCAGGGGCATGACCTCATTTGTCTTCGAGGTGGGCAAACCTTGACTGCCTGTGGTTGCAAATATGAATCTGAGTAACTTGTGACGAGGTTTCTTTGGGTAAGACCAACCATGATGGTGCTTCACAAGGGAGGTCCTTGGATCCATTTGGGCTATTTATTAGAGCTTGTTCAGATCAACGAGCCTAACCTCCCAAATGGGCTGGGTGTGTAACCAATCCAAGTACTGTCAGATTGACTGGCCCACCCCCATCCGGTTCATTCCGACAACCCACACGTTGATTTCTTCCTATGAAGCCACCAAGTTTTGACACACACGGGCACAGGGGTTGTCTCAAATGGGAACTTTTGGTTTCGCTTCCAAACCCTCCACGAAGAGTACCCTTCGCCTCAAAAAACAAAGCAGACTCGCCAGTTGGCAATGCCTTTCCTTCTCGGGACTTGCGCAGGGCGATTCACCGGCGACGGGCAGGGTTGGGCGATTCAACGTGTTTAAGATCAGTTGTAGGCCAGCAAACTCTTCAAACCAGTACCTGAGCTGCTGTCTTCTTCAAAGAATCCAGGGGGTTGGTAAACAATATATTCATTGTTCAAACCACCTACTTTCTTTTTCACCAAGTCCTTTCGGCTTCCCCCCCCAAAAAAAAACCGAGGACTTTCAGGGCGGTTTCCCCGACACATCCGCGGCCAAGCGTGGCGAGCCGAGCGAGCGAGGCTTCCACGGCGCCACGCGCGCCCTTGAGAAGTCGGGGCTCCGAAGCGTAGACGGAGGGTTCGGGTGGCGGAACGGAAGGGGAACGGAAGGTTCCCAGCCATCCGGTGCCTTTTTTGTTTTAGCGCTTTAGTCGGTTTATTGTTTTTTTTTTTTTTTTAAGCGTTGGTTGTTTTTTTGTTTTAAGCCTTGGTTAGTGGTTTTTAGCCTTGGTTGGTGGTTGTGAGCCTTGGTGGGTGGTTTTTTAGCGTAGGTTTTTCAGCCATCCGGTTCCTTAGGCAAACCCCCCTAGTGGGTTTAGTGCTTGGGTGTCCAGACTAAGAGTTATTCACTGGATCTGACGACAGCCCAGGTTTGGGGTAGACTTTGGAGAATGGGGTAGGCTCCTTGCAGGCTCGATTCCTTTCTTTTCTCGGAGTTTGCTCCCAGAGGGCCAACGCAATTCGAAGGTGGTGGGGTACTTGAGAGTCACAGGACCATGAGGTGTGCAGGTATTTCGCCACTTATGTTCCTAGACAGATCAGTTGGGTCAAAGATGGCACAAATCCCCCACACCCTACCTAAATAATTCCCCCGCGTTTGTAATCATTCAAAGGTCAAAGAAGATTGGAATGAGGTTGCGGGGTACTCTGTAACAGCATTCAGTCACGATTATGGGAGTACACTATTGGTTTATGGTTTGTTAGCCTCTTACACCTACACAAATTCAAATTACTACTTCACAGACTGGATGCCATTAAGGACTCCCTGAGTAAAGAGCCTTCTCATGTGGTGTTTTTCTTGTTTTACTCCCGGCTCGGGGGAATCTCTCGTTGATTGCAATTTTCCCCAGCTAGGGTGAAACTGGTCAGCATAGGGGATGACCAAACGTCCACATGGGTTGGAGTTGCGGCATCATTTGCGTTCTTGGTTGGTATTCAAAGGGAAACCAAAAGAAAGCCCCCCCAAATCCATTGTATGAAATGTACCACTATTCAAATGGCTTATGCATATGCTGGTTGGTTCCAATCATGTTGCCTGTGCTTCGCTTTTTGTGGTGTGTGTGTGTGTGTGCGTGTGCCACCACTTGCTTGGTGTGTGCTTACCCTTTTTCGGTGCATCTCAGGTTTTCTGGGTGTATGCTCGCTGGAATTCCCCCTTTTTGGATGCGTGAAGATCTTGTTTCCGTGGTTTTCAAAAGGACACCGTCGGGAGCATCACCTTATTCCGGTTGCTCCTGCTTGGCAGTTTGGATTGGCGGTTTGGATTTGGATCTGAACCCCTTGAGGGAGTTCCCACTCATCCCTTAGCAGCAACCAGGGCGCAGTTTCCTGTGACGCGGATGTGGCTCAAGAAATTTGATCCCAAAATTAGCCATCGATCCCCAGTCACTAAGTCAACTGCCAACGCTTCATCAGACTCCTTGGAGCTCTCAGTTTTTCCAACACTTCTCCCGCGCCCTTTTCATGAGCTGTCTTGAGGTTGGGTTCGGAAGGTGTGCAGGAGCTCTGAATATCAAGCAAACCTCGAGCCACTTGAGGTTGGACCTCTCCAAAATGGCGCTGAGCGCGGCTTTCCTCGTGGTTTTCCCTTGCAAACCCCCCGCCCAAGCGGAGGTGCCAAGCCAAGCGCGACACACCGAAGACTCCCTCGATGCCGCGCACGAGCTGCCAGGCTCATCGCGGACCCCGAGCAGCGGCAGCGGCCCATCTGGCTGCGAAGACCTCGGCACGGAGTCGAGCGAAGGGTCCATCGTTTGGCAGGGCCGGTCCTAACTCAACGAGGAACCCTGGTCCATCGTCAGGCCGTTTTTTAGAGACTCCCAAGGGGTCCCATGGTAGGGGCCGTTCCCCAGAGACCCCCCAGGGGTCCCATGGTAGGGGCCATTCTCCAGAGACCCAACGAGGAAGGCTGAAACGACAAAGGCGAACGACCCCAGTCCTCAGTCGCTCTTAGCCTTGCTGACACCCAGAGAGCTCAGCTGTGAAGCTAAGCCCGCGTTCGGAAATCGGAACCTTGGAAGTGGAACCCCCTGGTTCCTTCCATGAAAATTGGGGAGAAACCCGAACACCCCCCTAGGTTTTGAATAGGTGACTTAGTTAGTCTGGGTTGTAGAATAGGCCTTGACTAATTGTATGGACATGTATTGGTAGCTGTCAATTGAGTTTTGCAACCTAGCTGGCCACATGTTTGGCAACTTAGTTAGCAACCAAGGTTGACTTAATTTGCACCTTTGTTTGCATGTTAGTTGCCAACTTAGTTGGCAACGTAGTTGGTTGTTGAGAACTGCATTGGACACTGAGTTTGTTGGAAACAAATGCCATGTGGCAAATAAGTTGGCAGCCTATTTGACAAGTTAATCTATGTGTCACCTGAAACCACCTTTGTGCACTTGCCAAAGCCTTTGTTGGGACAATTTTGGCATACCTTTAAGAGGAAGCTGGAAGCGCTTCTTTGGGCCATACATGGGTTTGCGTCAAGTTTACAGTCAGGCAATGCGCAGAACAATGCACAAACATGCGTAGACAGTTATCATCGCAGTTGTCATCAAGCTTTAAATGAGTGAATGGTCATTCCAACAGTGGGCATCATTGCAACGAGGAGAAAGAAGATAATGGTGAGTATGACGATCATGATGAGGATGATGAGACAATGATGATGATGATGATGATGATGATGATGATGATGATGATGATGATGATGATGATGGTGATGATGAGGATGAGGATGAGGATGAGGATGATGATGATGATGATGATGATGATGATGATGATGAGATGATGATGAGATGATGATGATGATGATGATGATGATGATGATGATGATGATGATGATGATGATGATGATGATAATGATGATGATGATGATGATGATGATGATGATGATGATGACGATGACGGTGACGGTGACGGTGACGGTGATGACGATGACGATGACGATGATGATGATGATGATGATGATGATGATGATGATGATGATGATGATGATGCTGATGCTGATGCTGATGCTGATGATCATGATGATGATGATGATGATGATGAAGATGAAGATGAAGATGACGATGACGGTGATGATGATGATGATGATGATGATGATGATGATGATGATGATGACGACGGTGATGATGAGGATGATGAGGAGGATGAGGAGGATGAGGATGATGAGGATGATGAGGAGGATGAGGAGGATGAGGATGATGAGGATGATGAGGATGATGAGGATATGATGGTGGTGGTGGTGATGATGGCGGTGGTGGTGGTGGAGAAGTCGTCACTTTTCTGGAGGAACTTTTGTCTCCCCTCCCCTGCAATGGGGCGGAACGAGGCAGTGCGCTACAGACGACTCCGAGATGGTTCCCTGGAGGTGCGGCGGCCAGATCCGAATGCGAGTAAATGCTTCCAGTTGGTTAAGATTTTTATAGCTTCCCCTGTTGGTTTTAAAGGGAATCTATCACTGGAAATATTTGTACTTTTTCCAGGGGACTTAAGCAATTGGAGGAATGAGTGCGGGTCTGGGTGATGTTCTTTTTTCTTTTTGGTTCTGGGGGGGGAATTCTTAAACTTAAACTGTGCTGGTGGTTTCCCGCTGAGGCCAAGGTGAAATAAAGAAGACCCCAACAACAGTGCTTGTCTGGGTGGTTTCCCTTTAAACTTTAAACCAACCTTTTTAACAGGGTAACGAGCCTCGCACAAAGGGTGTGTAAACTATAATATATAAATATGTACACATAAACTGTACAACTACGACTTACAATTCTTCCCTTTAAAGCACCAGGACCAAACGAAAAGCCGACCTTGACCCACAAAATGCGTTTCGGCGAGGAGTGCGGTGAAGCCCAGCCTTCTGCGGGCGGAAAACCGCCTGCCCGGGCTCTACGTGAAGGAGGTGAGAGGCGGGCTGCGGGCTGCGTGCGGCGTGGCGGTCGTTGGTGATGAAGGGGTAAATGGCTGTGGCTCAAAAAACCGGTACCAAAATTGGAACCCTGGTAAGTGGAAACATGGACCAAAGCCTGCGGTTTGCCCCTCCTGGTGAATTTTGAGCCACAGCCAAATGTATTTCTTGTTTCTTTCGAACTGGGTATAGACTGACGAAAGGGTGGGAGTAGACTGGTTTAAAAATGCTTATGTGCTGCCTGCTACCCTGCTACCCTGCTACCCCTCAATTTTAACATCACACGAACAAAATGCAACATTTTGCCTGGATCGTTTTTTGGTTGCACGCGGCCGGGTTTTCCAGCACCAACGACCGAATTGTCACAACAGAACGGTTCTGTACGGTTCCGGACGCTCTGGAACGACTTGCGAACGGTTTTTGAAAGCATGTTGAACGCTTTTGGCGCTGAAAGGGTTTCGAACGGTTTCGAACGGTTTCGATCGGTTCCGAACGGGCAAAGTAGCAGCGGTGTTACCATTGTAACAGTGATCAAGTTTTGCAAATTTCCCGTTTGGTGTTACAATTGTACAAATCAGGGGGTAGCAGGCGCTCATAAGCTGGCAAACTGGTGAAAAGCGCGGAGAGATGCTTCTCGACGCTTGCAAGCCTCGACACGGGATCCGTGGTTGAAGGGCCTTTGTTGGAGAGGTTTTTCGGTCAGGTTGTATCGGGTACTCTTTCCCATGTTGCCATGGCAGATTTTAAGACGAAGCTGATCTTCCAGATCCGACAGGTGAAAACGTTGGGTTGGGGTCACCAACTTGGTTTGGATTCGGATTTGCAGCATTTCCGGCCCTTTCCAGGGCCCCTGGAGCGCCACTGCAAACCGTGGTTCTTGAGGGATGGGGAGGGATTCTGGTAACCCCGCGCTTCAAGGAAACTGCCAAAAGGCTGAGTGGGCGAAGCGGTTTGTCCATGGACGCCTACCAGGATCCGGTTTAAGCCATGAAACCACAGCGGAACCAAACCAAACCTGATTTAAACCGGAACCTGGCTGGAAATTCCAACCACCTTCAAACAAAAACGACCCCTGAAAAAGGGGACGAAGCCTGAGATGGCCGAGATGGGAACGCCGTGGTCGTGGCGAATCAAAGTCTGAGTGCGCAGTAAACTGGTGGGTTTTGTTTGGGGTAGAGTGGGTGGCGAGTCCATCCCTAGGGTTCCTTGAGGCTCCCTTTGGAACCCACACAATTGTATAAAACTGAACCAACAGTGGTGTCCCTTTCTTCAACCACAAAAGGGAGAGGTGTGCTTTTTCGTCATTTCTGGGAGGATGGTTGGAAGCAAAAGGAGGGTGCCCACATGTGGATGGTTTAAGGAGACGGAAAGGAAATGAAACTTCTCGAGGGCTCGTGTTGAGAAACTATCGTTGTTGCCATTTGGGCATGTCGAACTTTTCCGTTGGCACAGAGGGAAACCAACCGAAAAATAAATAAATATTTCTTTTGTTTTTTCTTTTGGGGGGGGGGGGGGTTGGGTGCCTTTTTTTTGGGACACCACCATTTGCGGGGCTTCCGGGGGTCCGATTCCCAAAGAACCGAAGATGAGCCACGCGCCCCTTTGGCCACCCAGCCTGCCCCTCAGGCCGAGGCCACATCCTGGATGAGCCCCCCGGCGGAGCATGGTGGCACTGCCAAATGTGGGTCCAAAATGGATATCCATTTTGGAACCCTAGGAAATGGAACCAAGGACCTAAAAACGCGGTTTTCTGGTGCTTGAATTTTGACCCAGACCCAGATTTATTTTAGCCGAGTCCAGTAAATGCTATGCCCTGCATGGACAAGGCACAGACATGCAGTCTTTGTTGAGAGTGGCCCTTACTAACCTTCTTCTACCCGAATCGGTTTTGAGCACGTGGCTCATATGTCCACGCCCTGCTCCAAAGGCTCTCCTCCAAAGGCTCTCCTCCAAAGGCTTGCTCACGAAAAGGCTTGAGGCTTTTCAGGGGAAACAAATCCCACCAATTCCTGCCATAAATTGCGGATATCCGCCTTCTTGGTTCTTGAAGCATGGTTCTGGGTTCACCATCTTATTACCGGGTTTTGAGCAAGAGACTCATATGGCTGTGGTGGTCAAAACCGTTTTGGGATCCCAGGTTGGTTGATGGGTGAATTCACCACCTTTTTTTGGAACCTATTTCAGTGGTTGGATTGGTTGATGTTCACTGGGGTACGGGATTTTTGGATTTTGACCCACGGCCATATGTGTTTTTCCACATACTTTGACGATTGTTTTGCCACACATTCTGAGAGTAGATGAGCAAATTTGAGGTTGCCAGTTCTTTGGGCCCTGTGTCTTTACCTGGCAGGGTGTTGTGCACATCCGTAAAGTTCAATGGGGAGGCAATGGACAATTGAAACCTATCCAATCCGGAATTCCTATCCATCTAATCCCAAAAGTCCTATCCCAAATCGGGTCCCCTTTTTGTGACTCCCAAATCCAGGAAGCGCGAACCGGTTGCCGAGGTGGGAAGGTGAATTCGTGCGCCTTGGCAGCATTTGCGTCTACTAGCGGAGGGGCGAAAAGGGGTGTCCCACTCGCTCTTCATGTTTCATGGTAGTTTTTCACCATTGGTTTGTAATGTGGACTGATTCTCCCCAATGACAATATTAGCATGGAAGCTTTGAAGAACCATGCTGAGAGCCCTTTTGCGGAGGCTCTTACACAACAACACACACACACACATACGATTTTGTCACTGGCCTTAGCCCGTCATATAGGCCATGGTCCGAGGGAGAGTATCGCCGTCAAAATCCCACAGGGTGATAGTTGGTTAATATGTAAAATAATCAGGCTTAATTCATTTGGAAGACACCCTCATTGGGGCAGATTCCATTTATGAGTGCAGAAACCATGAACATCAAAAGTGGCTCATTTGCTTGGTGTTTTGGTTTCTCCCACGAAAGGGTGATGTTTGCCTTTGGCTTCCCTTGAGACAACCATGCCATCTCAAGGGTGCGTGCAAGTCCAGGACGCCTGAGGCACACGCGTATGGGCAAGAGCACGTGTGCTTGGTCTTAAGGAATGTCCATGGACTACTTCGGGAGTTTAGACAACCAATGTAAGGGTTCCTGTAGAGGAAGCCATGATCATGACCCTCACGAAGCACGGCACATGTACGCACTGGAGCCCTTGGCCGGCTTTCCCGCGAAAAAGCACGTGGCAAGGTGAATGAGCCTTATCATGTCCGGTCCTTGACCTAAGCCCTTTCAAACCCGTGCAGGGATTTGCTGATGGACTGAGCACAGCGCAATTCATAATGGTCTCAGGCATAGTCTTCCATTTGCTTTTGAGTATATATTTTTTCAGGGGACATACACCAACTGGAGGTAGTCCGAGGATTCAAGGGGACGACAAAGAACAAGACTTGAGCGCGAGCGCTGACCTGTGGAAAAGTACATGGCCGTGGAAAATTACGGGTTTCAGGCGGCCACTTTCGACGATACTAAGCAAATGCCCTTCAAAGTGAGAAAGTATCAACCGCTTTGGTACCACAAGGCCAGATGTTCTAAACCATGTGCACATGGGTGTGTTTTTTTGTAGGCACTCCCCCCCAAAAAAAAACAAGCAAATCAACCAAATAGATAGATACATGTTGGGTTTCTCGTTGTTTTTTTTCCCACCGGGGTGCAACCAAAACACTCGGACACGCACACCCCCCCCCATGTGGAGCTGTGCATTCCGCCGTCGGCTTCAGGCGCGACTTTTTGGAGCGGCACGGGAAGTCTTTAGAGCACCCTTGATGTCAGCCCACCTGGCCGATGCGGGGCTCTAAGGTCGTGGGTCGTAGCTGGGGTCTCCTTCAATTTTTCTTTTCAGCCTTGGGCAGGCTAGTTATGGACCGGAATCTGAGCATCATGATTGTTTGTACCGCAGATTTGGGCCGGTCAATGTGGAGCACCCGGAATTTCGGTTCCAGAAAAGACCCCAGGAGGCTTTGGGTTTTGAAGACCAAGGCTTGTGGAAGCCTAGACGTCTGGACCCGGGACCAATCCTTCTGTACTGATTACAGTGAGCTTAGTTGAAGTTGTACACATTGTGCTTGCCCATTTCAAATCGACCTCCATTTAACTCTTGGCTTTCTCCCTTCTGTCGAACATGTTGAGTCACCTCAAAAGGTGTTTGGGGAGTTTGGTTTTCCAGCGAAACCTGTTGTTCGACCTCCAGTTTACCTCCTGGTTTCTGGTTTCGCAACAACAATAAGCCGGGAGTCGAACAATGACAGGACCAATGCTAATCCATCATCCCAGACCTGGGGGTCTCCGGCTCCACTCACCCCGAAAAGAGCAAATTATCCTCCCAGGACCCGGTTGCTCAGCGGGTTCCCCCACTCCCCCATTTTCATTCGCTGTTGTTTACCTCCGTGTTTTGTTGTTCTTTTTTTGTTTGCTTCCTTACAAAATCAACCAATCACGTCGGACAATTCCGTTTGTCCCCATGGCATCCACTCTCAACATGTGGCTGACTTACAGTTGGGTGAAAGCAGATGGCAACTCTGTGGTAGCTGACTTTTTGTCTGGGCATTTGTTCCTGGAAGACGGTTCTCCCTTTTCAGGGCACCCGGTTCCTGTGCAACTTCCGGCTGTTTGTTTTACTATCTGCCTGTAGTGCATGGGAAGGAGCCGTTCCTGAAAGATGACCAATGCCCCCCCCCCTTCGTGGGGTGGTATCTTTTTTGGAGGGCCCCTTTTTGGGGCGGTTTTAAGGGGGAAAAAACAATGAACAATATGTGGGGCCTCGGTGCAACAAATCCCAGTTTGGTGCAAGGGATTTACTGGTTCAAGCAGGCTTTTGGTGGAAAGACCGTGTGCCATTTTAGGGAATCCTTTTTCGGATGGGTGAAATGGGGCAGGCAAGTGGACTTCCTGGGTAGGGGGAGCACGGTGACAACGTGTACGGGAAAACAGGTTTCCAGTTGAGGACATTCAAAACGCCATCGAGCAACAACTTATAGGAATGGCCCTGACGGTCCGAACTCAGCATATTTCTTTTGTTTTTTGTGTTTGTGTGCGCGCCTGTGTGTGTGTGTGTGATTCTTTTGTTAATACGGGAGGGGGATTCCTGCCAAAAGGAAATTCCAAGCCCACAGTGATGCGTGAGTCACCCAAGGGAAATACAAGGCCCACGATTGTGTTGGTCCTCTAGTCGAATTTCCATGCTGCTTGTCTTTCACTTTCACTAGGGACATAGGCGAGTCATAACGAACCCGCCTAATACTCAAGAAGGAAACCTGTGGTACCTGTATTTTGTTTTTATATGGGGTTACACACCCAGCTGCCTCCATTTAGTAGTTGTATAACCCCGCAGAATAATAACTAATAATAATAATAAATAATAAAAAAATGATAATAACAACAATAATAATAATAATAATAATAATAATAATAATAATGATAATAATAATGATACTAATAAATAATAACAACATAATAACTAATACCAATACTGATAATATTCATGACAATACCAATATTAGTAATACTAATCATAATGATAATAATGATAATAATGATAATGATAATACTGATAATGATAATACTGATAATGATAATACTGATAATGATAATACTGATAATGATAATGATAATAGTAACAATGGTAATAAAAACAATAATTGTAATAACACCAATAATAATAATGATGATAATGCGGAATACTAATAATAGTAATCCTAATAACAACAATAATAATAGTAATAATAGTAATAATAATATTGATAACAGTGAAAATCATAGAACACAAAAACAACCATAGGCTTCTCAAGTAGACAGTTGGGGGCGCGGATGTGCACAGAAGCCAGTTTCTCAGGCAGGGTGATCGCCCTCGCGTGACACGACTGACGCGACTGCGACGTGGCGCGCGAGCTGTTTCCAATCAAGCCCGGTGATTCCAGTGGCTGGGGGTTCCATAAACTGCAAAGATATATCTTCGATATGTTTATATGGTAACGCACGCGCATTGTATGTGTCATATACTTATCATGTAAGTCTGATACTTTCTGGCTTTCAGTAAGGAATCCACTGAGGTTCTTGGAGTGAACCTAGGCATCCACCAAACGGAAAAAGCCTCCAGAGCTGATTTGTTTCGGGGTCATTCCCACATTCCCTGCTGTGCTGAGTTCACGGATTCTATTTGGGTGTACAGCGGAAACACATCACCTTATGAAGGTCCTTACCTGTTGCTCATTTCAGGTTTTTGAAATTGCATTTTGTCCAGAGGTCCTTTTGTTGTGGGGTTAAAAATAGTCCAACAGTAAAAACCATTATTTTCGGGGGGATACCTGAAAATGTAAGATGCCTACCACCCATTGAGCAGATTTGGGTTGCTCGTTGCCCTCAAGTTCCTGAAGTATATGGCAAATAAACAATTGGGTGCCTCGTCTTTTTTGAGGGTCCCCCTTCTTTAGTGCTTTGAAAGGGAAACCAAAAGGAGAACCGAAGCCATTTTGGGGGGCCCAACTAGAAAAGACACACCCAAATGGGAAATCATTGCAGCCTCCTGTCCATGAAGGTAGACAATGCTGTCTTTGTTCCCCACATCTAGCATTCAGATCAACCCGAAACTACAGGGGCAAACCACTGAAGAGAAGCACATTTTGTAGGCGCGTGTTTCTTTGCATGCTGCTCCACGTATGTGATATCATAATCTATATACATATATATATATATATACACATACAGATATGTGTGCATCTACTACTCGAGTTGCTTGACATAGTGCCATAACTTTGCCAGCATGGGTACCTGTAGGTTGGGTTCCACTGCCGAGGGTACTGACCCTTTCCTGTTCGGTTGGCAAGGAAGTGGGAACCATTGAACAACTTCCATTTGGTTAAGATTTTTTCATTTTCCCCTGTTGGTTTTAAAGGGAATCTATCACTGGAAATATTTATGTTTTCCAGCGGACTTGAGCAACTGGAGGAAACAAACAAGCAAGTCCCCATCTGCATGGAAACTTGCGGCAACTTGAAGCCCCTGCCACCCTTTTTTCAAGCTGAACGGAGGGAGTCCTGCATTCAACAAGGGCGACTCGGCCTGCATGGAAGACTGAGGTAGACGTCCCAAATTTCACCCGAGCATTGCCTTTTTGGGGTGTTGACTTTTGAGAGGCGCGAAATCAGGGGAGCCCTTGACATGAAGGGTGAACTTGGAGGTCTCATTTGGGTACCTTCTTTTGTGGAGAACCCCGAAATGGGTTGCTTCCTCTTGATTTGCCTTGAAAACCACCCCAGAAAGGCTCAAACCCATTTTGAGACGAAGACGACCTCGGGGGTTTCCCTCATTTGGGTGAGACACCCACTTGGCCAACAGACAACCAAGGGCTGCGGACCGAAGCACCCACCTTCACAAAACCCTTCTCGGTGTCTCGTTTGTTGAGAAAATATCCTTTGGGGGGAAGGGTTTGATTCAGGAAATCAAATTCAGGGCTTCCCAGGCAAACGCGCTGGTCTCCTTGGGGTGGTCTTGAAAGGAAGTCAAAGTTTCAGGGTTTCCCGGGCAAAGTTTCAGGTTACTCCTTGCAGATGAGTTGCGGAGTTCCCTATTCCCCTCGCAGACGGCCCAGAATCGACCAGGGGTGAATTCGTGGGTTCTGAGTGGAAACCATGACCTGTGCAAGCTGGCGTTTGGATCAAGTCAGAACCCGATTTTGATCCGTGTGGATGTGTCTGAGGATTCCCAAGTGGTTGGCTTCCATTGGCTTCCCTTTAAGCCAACCACGTCGACTAGAGGAGCCGCATAGCTCGACCGAATGAGCTCCCAACGACTCAAACCCTAGGTCTCTGGCGGATTTTTGCAATTTCCGAGTCCGAAGTAAGCCAACTGCTCACCCGGAAAGTCAACTTTGGATTGGTGGGCTTTGAGTAGACCGCTTTGAATCAGAGTTTGATTGCGACGTTGAAGTGAAGATAGGCATTTCTGATCTTAGTTTATAAACACCACCCAAGCCCATTCTGATTTAGGCCCTTGTAGTAGTGCTCAGTTCGCTTGGCTAAATGCAGGACTTCCCCGGCAGGTTTCGCCACAGCATGCGGCCGGGGGCAACTGCCTGAGCCCGCGCAACTTGAGAAACGCGGGTTCAGCTGCGGAATTGCCCCCCAAAGCGGACGCTTCGAGAAGCGGCGCAGAGGGTTTGCCTTTTGACCATAGGTGGAGAAGGTGGTGTACCACCGACTACTCTTTCGTACCCGCGACTCAAACAAACGTACCCACGACTAATTTGCACGACTATTCTTAATATTAAGAATATGATTGTTGTTCTTATTAATATTATTATGAATATGAATATAATTAATAGTATTATTAATATTATGATAAATACCCGCGTCCCATAGGTGTCCTTTTTAGGTGAGTTTGATTAAAAATAGATGGGTTCCACTGGTTTAGGTGGGTTTATTCCATTTACCAGGGCCATCTAATTTTCCAAAAGGCCACCTATGCTTTTGACCTGGTGCTGTGGTTGGACACCAAGACCTGAACCCGCCTGAAAGATATCTAAAGCGACCACTGCAGCATTCAAACGGGGTGGTTGTGACTTTTTCGAGGTGTGGTATCCAGTTGCCGGTTGCTTTACGGATCTTTAACAGGAGACCAAGAGCACGCCAAATAGTATGAGACAAGCCCAAGAGGGATCTAAAAGAAGGCTTTGAGTTTCCATGGGAGCCGAGCGCCCGATATTTAAAGCACATGCCGAGCGTGAGGTTCTAGGACTTGCTTCACCAAAATCATTGAATCAAACACCAGCCGTGTCCCCTGTGGCTTTTCTGGAAAGAAGGATCCAAGGAATCACTAGGCCCCAATGCATACAAGTCCAGTCCTACCCTGGAGACCCGGCTGGGCTACCCCAAGGTGTTTGGTGTGCGTTTGGCCATGTTGTGTCTTCCATTTAAAGCGACATCCTCAACAGCCTCTAGCTGACATGCGCTTGGAAGGCCACGTGTGGTTCAAAGGGACATCACTTGCAATGGGCTTAAAGGAAGCAACCTGCAAAAGCAAGCTTGAGAGTCCCTCAAGATGAAAACACCTTTACCGGACCCAGTTTGCATTCGGGGCGTTTAACAGATCTCGCTCCGGTCAAACGGTAGACGCTGGCGCAGTTCCATGTCGCAACAGCTCGGGGAGAAACAAGATCGGGCGGCGCAGCTCAACCAGAATCGCAGAGACTCGTGTGGCAACTCAAAGACAGATTTAAGGGGTTCCCTCCGGACCAACATGGAACCTTTCAAATTGTCTTCCAGGAACCCCACACCTTTGTGGATGGGAGAGTTCTTCTCCATTCTGAACCTGGGGCTTCTTTCCAGAAAACTACAAACCACCGGAGCTGTTTGTTTTTTAAGGAAGGATCGGGGGAACACATGGGAATGCCCCATCTCATCCATGGACTCCAAATGGGGGGTGGGGGAGTTGTACACCATTTTTTCGGAGAGTGACGACACTCCCCATGATATTTTCCACAAAGCCTGAGTAAGGCAATCCATGAGACTAAATGGCAGTGGGTCAAAACGAAAGGGATCCCATTTTGGGGTAGGTGCCCCCATTTTAGGTTACCTATTTTAGTGGTGGATGATGTTCACTGGGGGCTAGCCATTTTTTGGGCTTAAAAGCCCATGGCCAAATGAAGGGAAAACCGTGGAGTGGGGGCTCGCTCCTCCTGCGCGTTGTGACCGTGGCATGCAGCTGGTGGAAACGACCCGAAGATTCGACCCGTTGCCTTCGGCGGCTCAGAGAACCTTCAGATAGGCCCAGGGCGTTTTTCTCCAGCCGTTTTCGGTTCAGCCCAAGCCGCTTAGCCGGGAAGCCCAGCGGCAACAGCCGCGCGGCTCTGGTTTTTGTGGGTGTTGGCTTGATTGTTGTTTTTTCTTTTTTTTCTTTTTTTCGGCCTCCATCTTGCACCATCTTGCAAGTTGCTTTGTGTTGGTTTGTGTGTGTGCGCGCGTGTTTTGGGTACCATCTTGCACCATCTTGCAAGTTGCTTTCAATGGGAGACTGAAGCGAAACCACGGGTTTCGGGGTGTAATTCGAGACAACGCCGGAGCTTTTGTGTGGTCACTTCTTCCCCATGGCGCCATGAAGGCGGAAAGTCTTGGCACCTCATCTCGCTCCCTGGGTTTCTGGACTTTAAACGCTTTGACCAAATGAGGGACCTTTAAGAGGGGGAAATGACAAGGACCTAAACCCTTTAGCCATGTCTAACCTTAAAACCCTTTAACCATCTTTAGGAAGTAGTGGTAAATGACAAGTTCGGACTTTTTCCGGCCAACCATCTCAGGAGGTGAGTCTGGTTGGGAGACACATGTCAGCTTGCGAGGAAAGTTCATGTCAACTTTGGAACGATCAAAGGCAGACCATACCAAGAAGTGGACATTTGCCCTTTCGATCCGGAATGATTTCTTGTTAGGGCGATTCCTTGCATTTGTATGGTTCTTAAAGTGATCAACACATGGGCTTTGTGTTACAGACACCGCCCAAATGTTCTGGCCCCAGAGAGCGTTGGTATGCTGTATGAGCGTCGGTCAATTAATATATATATATATATACTACGCGGCTTGGGGCTTTCTCAAACAAGTTGACTCCAGGCAAGGTTTCATACCCTGACATCAATGACTCGGGACAATCCCAACCATAAATAGCTGCGGCCGCCTTCTTATTTCTTTACATGGTTCTGGGTAGACCATTTTAATACCGGGTTTTGATTATGACTCACGTGGCTTCCAGTTTGCTGAAGTTTTGGTGCTGTCCTTCGCCGGGCAAGGTCAACGGTCAGCCATTTTTAGTGGCATGGGTGAATGGAATAATTTTGACTGTTTGAGTGCCGGCAAGTTCTACTGTTCAACCTTCACCTTTGGGGCCACCTCCCAAATTGAATCGATGTCCGGGTAGGCACAATATGGGCGTGGTTTCTTTTTGAGTTGGAGTGGCTGTCAAGGCGCCCAGGATGTATTACCACCCGGGGGGGGGGGACACAACACACATGTCCCCCTCCGAAGAAGCAAACAAACATGGTTTTCCTTTCACTTGAAGGCCACACAAAAAGATACGATATTCTCAAAAAACTTGAAACCCATACCCTGGGCCTTTGTGTCAAGTTCCTAGCTCGCACACCTGAGGGACGTGGCCTTGATACTCAGCTTGCCCCGCGAACTTATGGCTCTAGCCATGCTGCTTTTGGGTGAAACGCCCAACTGATCAAAGAGCACTTCCCCTTAGACCCCTTTAAAGTGCTGGTTTCTTCCGTTTTTTTTGGGGGGGGCGGGGCTGTAGAAACTCCCATCCTGTTTGCCAGGTTTATTGGGTCTTCTGGGGGGTTCAGTTTTACTCTTTTTTGTTGCCGGATCCTTGATTCTTGTTTCCATGTTAGGTCGTGGGCTTACAGCCTATATATATATATATATATATATGTATACATATTTATACATATCAACCTTCAAGCAGGTGGTTCTACATATTACCTGCCTTAAGAAGGGTCTTCTGGTTGTGGTAAGGCCAAATTGAACTTTGTGAATCATGATAGAAAAAGCGAGTGCGTCGCGCACCTAGCAAAAGCAAAAGCCCTGGCACGAGGCGGGTGTGAGTTTTTTAAGGGAGCCCCCTCAACATGGCTTGGGTGTTCCTTTTGGTTTCCCTAAACAAAAAAACGCAAGAAACAGGTACCCTCCAACAAGGTATCCTCCAAAAACCCAGGTGTTCCTTTTGGTTTCCCAACACCATGAAACAAGAAAAGGTGCCCTCCGAGGAGAAGAAAAAAATAGAAAAACACGGCACACTCAGGATCCAAAAATGGTCAGCAAGATCTGCCAGATCCGCGCCCGTGAGATCTTCGACTCTCGCGCCTTGGGCCGACGTGTTGCCGTGGCCATGGCTTTGAACCGATGGGGAAGCCGACAACCATTTGGGTTCCCAGTAAACCACTACCCAAGAAAAAAGGTGCCAACTACATGCTTGTTTCCACAGCCACTGCGGGTCTCGAGGCGTACGTTGGTGGAATGGGCGCGAAGAAAGTTTCAAAAGGCCTCCCAACCAACCGAGAAGCCAAAAACAAGAGAGGAACACACGCTATAGGTGCGTGTGAAAATGGGGTGACTCCACAATTTGGTGTCTGTCTTTTCCATCCCAAATGGGTACCAGGAGACTCCAGGACCTTTGAATTATTGGCGTCATCTATGCAGTTTTTTGGATTCATGACCTCATATTCTTAACGGGTCATGGAGCAGTAGAGACCTCTTTCGGTTCCCTGAAAAACAAACACACACAAAAAAAGAGAGGGGACATTTCCTCCCTGAACATGGGGTTTAATTTTACACCCGCATGCTCCCAGAACCATTTCTTCCAGCATTTCCCACCCGAAGCATGGGCAGAAACCACCATGTCCTGCCATAAACCATGTTTTTGTTTACCCCCGTGCATTCCCTTGGACACGCGTTTTCCCCGTCTTCTCCCCGCACCACAGGCCCCAACTTCCCCCCCCCACCCATCCCCTTCCCTTTTTCCCAGCGCCCAGAGCGCGCTTTCCGAACGCCTGAGCGCCTCGAGCGCGTGGAGCGTGAGGCGGCAACCCCACGGTGGAGGTGGACCTCTGCACCGAGGCCGCGCTCTTCCGCGCAGCGGTGCCCAGCGGCGCCTCCACAGGCGGGAAGCGAGCCGCCGAGCCGCCGGGGCTCGTCGTTCGCACGGATCGGCGGGTTGAGTTTTGTTGGACAAACTCCCCAGTTTGTCCCATGTTTTTATCCCAAGTGGTACTGATCGGCATGGATTTTGTCACCACAGGTGTCCTTTTCCACTGGAATGAGGCACCCTCTTCCTGGGTTCCCACTACAACACCGTTCCTGGGTCAAAGTCCGCGGCTGTCGGTTCCCTGCGACCTTTTTGCTGGTAAACAAGATGATCTTTTGTGTACCTGGAGTCTCCGAATCTGACCCTCTCAAGACGGAACCATGACCCCGATTTCATGGAGGTGACTGGCCATGCTTTTCAGGGTCATGGGGCAACAGTGGCACTTTGGGGAGGGAAAAAGTGATTGGTGTCCCCATGTTTCACACCAAACACTTGTTTACATGCCGTGGTACAGCATCGTTTATATACCATGTTCTTGTTTGACTTTTTTGTTTCAAAGGATCTTTGTTTCCATGGTTTTGATCACTGATAACCCATGGAACCCGTGTTTACGTCGTTCACCCCCTACATCAAGGAGCCCAAAAGTCGTTCACTCCCAGGGATCTACCTCCAAAGGGCCAGCGGACCTTTTGGTTGGGAAGCCAAATAGACACCAGCCACTTTGGCAGGGCTCCTCATTCACACGCGCGTAGTGCCCGCGCACAGCGGAAGCAGTGCGGCGGGCGTTTGTCCGTGGTTCCATTCAGGACTGGTGCCTGAAGGGTCTGGCCAGGTCATTTGCTGACCGGATCGGGCGACCTAAACAAAATGCCCTCAGCTCGCGAGACACCCGAAGTCTGTGCGCCCGGGTGATTTTCAAAGCGAGCCCTGCTTGTGGAGGGGCGACACCTAGTGTTGAAAGGTTCAAGCCCCTTACCTCATCAAGGTCCAAGCCAAACTGAGCGGCACAAAGCCGAAAGAAAAAGCGAACCATCCTGATGTCAGCGGCCAAGGTGGTTTGGACATTGACGTGTGGGCATGGGTCCCGCCAAACCTCGCCACCCGAGTGTGGAGTCGGGACCGGAAATCGGATGGCGGCAAGCCGCAATGCAACTGTACATTCGAGCCACGAAACATAGGTGGCGTTGGCGGTGGAGTCTGCCTCCTGCAAAAGCCAGCGAATGGCACTTGCCGGAAAGAGGCTACCAAACTTAAATTCCAATTGCGAGCCATGCAAGGTGGTGCTCCAATTCGGATCAAGCGAATCGGTCCAACTCAGCGGGGCCTCACTGTGTTCAAGGGGAGGGTCTGCGTCTTCAGGTAGGTCAGGTTCAGCATCTGCTGAGGTCGCCGAGGCTGCTGATGCTGAAACTGTGGCAATAGCGAGGTGTAGGGCCTGAAGGTGCCGGAGGCGGTAGAGTTGGTCGAGTTCAGCCTTTTCGTAGGCTGCCCAAATGTCTTGAAATGGCTGCCCTCGCTGCTGGTTGGCAGCCTTGGCAGCTGTGTCCGCTGTGTTGTTCCAACGTGCCAGCCAGGCATCGACCGGGTCGGACTGGTCGTCTGGGGAACCATGTGCAGGTGTATGGTGAACCTGAAACTGCTCGGGGTTGAGGTTGGCTATTGTGCTTGCTAGCCGCCTCCATAGGTCAGTGTGGGTGTGGTAGGGAAGGTTGTGGTTGTCGTGTTGAAGTTGCCAGGTGCCGTTGGCCGTGTAAGCTGAGTCTGTCCACAGGTGCGTGAGGCAGCGTTGTTGTTGGGTCCATTGCGCAGCTACGATGACCGCGTAGAGCTCGGCCCGATTGTTGCATTGCACCTCCCCAGGGAGTGGGCCAGCTGCAATCTGCACGCATTGGGTAGCGGATATGACTGCCCAGGAGGCTAATGCCAGTGGTTGGTATCGCGGAGAAGTGCATGAGCCGTCTGTGAACAAGTGCACGGTCTCGGTGATGTTGCTGGTGGCTGCGTAGGTGTGCTGCCAGTCTGGAAGTTGATGTAGGTGGGTGCGGAGTTGTTGGATGTGAGGGTTTCTAGGGAGCAGGAGATGCTCCCTGAGACAGGCCGGTGAGTCTGCCCATAGTTGGCATGCTTGGGGATGAGCAGCCCGACAGGTGGCGTAGGCCGGGCAGCGTAGGAAGCGATGTTCTGCCGTGTCGAGTTCGGGGCAGTAGCGACATGTTGGGGAGAGAAGGTTGTCGTACTTGGCCTTGTGAATGTTGAGGTAGAATGCTCCTTCCCGGAGCGCGTTGGATTGTGCAAGGTGGATCGGTGTGAGTGAGGCCTCAATGTGTTTGCTGGCGCTCCAGTTGATCCCAGTGAGCCCCTGGTACTCCGTTCGAGCGGAGATGTCGAGAGCCAGTCTTTGTCGCCATGCGTCCTCGAGAAGGGACCGAAGGTGGGCGTTGTCGATGGTGGTGAGGTCGTGGGAGAGCCCATCGTGGTCAACAAGGATGGGCGGAGTATCGACTCGCCAGGAGATCATGTTGAGCTGCCTGATGAGGACGGAGAAGGGTCCGGCGAAGAATTGACCGTTGTAGGATGCTTGGAATTGGGCCCACATTTCGAGAAGGGTTGGTTGTTTGGGAAGTAGTCGTCGGAAGGTGCGGATTATCAGCCAAAGCTGGTAGAATCCCGGGTCGTTGAGAATGTTGGTGGTGAGCAGGCTGAGTCGGATGGCTGGATTGGCTCCGGCGTTGCCGTGGCCAAGTGCTTTGACCGCTGCTGTGCGGAGCTGTTTGATGAGTTGGGTGGAGAGGTCCTCTATAGGTGCGCTGTGGAAGACTTTGGGCCAGATGGCCTGTACCAGCACATACGCCTTGCAGTGTGCTGGGGCCCGAAGTCGTCGTAAGAGGGACCATGTGGTCTGGAGTTGGTGAACAATGCTGGTGTGGTGGGCGGTTCTGCGGCGAGCGCCGTAGGTCATTTGTCCACCCAAGTCCTTGTCCTTCTGGCTGACCCGGTATCCTATATGGCTCAGTTGCTTCCGGTGGGCCGCCTGGAGACCCCAAAGGTAGGTTTTGTCGGAGTCAATTTGTAGTTGAAACATGTCGAGGAAAGTTTCCTGGGCCACTATGGCTTGCAGGAGAGCTCCGGGGTGGTCTGCGACCAGCTCAAGATTGTCAACGAATGAGATGGAGGTTGCCCGAGGTGCGAAGTGTCGTTGGTAGAAGTGGTAGCACCAGTCGGTGAGAGCCATTGCCACGCAGCTGAGCGGACAGCCTTCCGGGTAGCCACAATTTGAGAAGAGAGGGGCTCCCAGGGTGTCGTGAACTTTGAATCTTCGGGTGAAGCCAGTCAAGAAGCGATGCCAGGCTTCGACAAAGTCCGTGTCGAAGCCCACGTGTTTGGCAATTTGTTTGATAGGGCCTCGTGGGAGGTGGTTGAAGGCCTTCTCGATGTCGGCCACACAGCCAACTAGCGGGCTGGATTGTTGCGCCCGGAGTTCGATGAGGCCCTGAAGAGGCAACCAGACTTCTTGGGCCTCGCGAGAGGGCAAGAACCCAAATGCCGGGCAGTCCATGAGTCTGGCGAGTCTGGATAGCGCTTGACGTGCCCGGATGGAGGACCAGTTGCGGTAGAGCATGCTGAGGACGATGATGGGTCTGAACTGGTTGACCTCCTCGGCGTCGTCGCACTTGGCAAGGCCGTGCGCGAAGCCTGTTAGCATTTGTTGTGGCCATTGTTCACCACGCTCGATGCGCTGGAACAGATTGATGTGTGCTTGCTTGAGTGGTGTTGGCATGTTGACGAGGTCCAAACGGCCATAGCCGTCAGGTCCACGGGCTGAGTGCTTTTTGAATTTGGTAAGTGCTTGATCCCATTGAGGGAGCTGGAGCGTAGGGAGGTCAATGATGCCCTTGGGAACGTAAGCTTTTGCGAAGCTAGTGATTCTGCGCCAGGCTTCAGGTGGAAGGTGGGCGTGTTTGCTCCAGCGCTGCTGCCAGAAAAGTTCAAGGGTCGTGTGAATTTGGGACTCTGTGGTGATGTGGTTGTGCTGGTGTAGAGTTTGGCCCGTCACAAGTAGCAGGTCAGTGTCGACCTCAAAGGTGTCCGGGGTGAGCTGATGGACTGTGGCTGGAGTGCCGTCCACCCGCCAGGTAGCGAGTGGGCTTGTCGTCTTCAAAGGCTGGTCGACATGGATCTGAGTGCCATCTGAAGAGACGGCAATGATTGTGGCTGATTGTTTCTCGACCAGACGGTCGATGGGCTCCCTGCTGGCTGGTTTGATGGCTTTGAAGATGCGGTGGTGGTGGTGCTGAAGTCGGAGCTGACTGCAGTTGGACTTTTGTCGTAGATTCCAGCTCTCGAGGCTGCGAAAGTTGTAGCGGTAGTCGTGGTAGATAAGGGCCATGTGGTCAGGGCTGGGAAGGTGGTGTGTGAGGAGTGGTGGACTTCCTTGGAAACGGTGCTTGCGAGTGGGCCACCAGTGGAGGAAGCCGTGCTGAAAGCCGGTCGCGTGCACAATAGCGTGCCAGAGCTCCGCTCTGTAGAGTTGATGTGTGGGTCCTTGACCTCCAGCTTGGAGGGAGTGCATCATGCTTTGCAATCGGCGGAGTTGGCGGAACCAGCGTAGAACAGAACGGCTGACCAAGTCAGAGTTCAGATATTCCTCCCCAGGGCGACTGGGTCGCAGAAGAGGGGCCTGCGGTTGTCGTCGTGTGGGCTTGAGGCGTTGGCCACGCCCGAGACAGGCAGGTGGAAGCTTCGCTCGTGATTGGTGGTAGAGGTGGTTGTCCAGGCTTCTCTCGTAGATATGTCCAAGGTGCTTGTAGTGTTGTGTGGGGTCGGAGGTTTGTTGGATGTCTGGCGTGGAGGCATCGAAGGTGGCGTGCCAGGCTGGCACATCAATGTCTGACCAGGGGATCTGCCCTGGTAGTGGCCATGCCCAGTAGCTGGGGTTGTGATCCGGAAGATGTAGGACACATGAAAGCGCTCCATGGTCCGCGAACCAGGTGTCGTAGTGTGCCTCCTTGAAGTAGGCCGCCAGCTCAGGCGAAAGATAGATGCGGTCTGGCCTGGAAATGCCACGGTATGTGTTC